TGTGCCTTTAAGATTACGTCCTTGAAGAACGTGCAGCCTTCCTGGACCTCTTTCCCCTTCAAAACTGTTTCCCAGGGGACTCTCTCAACCAGTGACCTGAACAGGCCAAAGTCTGCCCTCCGGAAGTCCAAGGTAGCTGTTTTGCTGTCCCCTCTCCTTACCTTACCAAGGATTGAAAACTTTATCATTTCGTGGTTGCTATGCCCGAGACAGCCTCTGACCACCACATCTCCCACCAGTCCTTCTCTGTTTGTAAAGAGCAGGTCTAGCAGGGCACCTCCCCTCGTAGGCTCACTTACCAGTTGCATGAGGAAGTTACCTTCCACACACTCCAGGAATCTCTTGGACTGTTTCCTTTCTGCTGTGTTGTATTTCCAGCAGACATCTGGTAAGTTCAAATCCCCCACAAGAACAAAGGTCAGCGATTGCAAGACTTCTGCCAGACACCTGTAGAACACTTCATTCACCTCTTCATCCTGGTTGGGTGGTCTGTAACAGACTCCCACCAGGATATCTGCCTTACTGGCCTTCCCCCGATCTTTACACAAAGGCACTCGACCTTATCATCACCATCGTTAAGTTCAAGAGAGTCAAAACATTCTCTAACACATAAAGCCACTCCGCTGCCTCTCCTTCCTTGCCTATCCCTTCTGAAGAGCTTATAGCCATTCATTGCAGCACTCCAGTCACAAGACTCATCCCACCAAGTTTCCGTGATGGTGACGATGTCATAGCTTTCCTGCTGCACCATGGATTCCAGCTCTTCCTGTTTGTTGCCCATGATGCATGCATTGGTGTAGATGCACTTCAGCTGGGCTACTGATCTCCCCTCTAAGACTGGCCTGCTGCCCCTAGGCTCATCTCCAGCATCCTGGGTTTTATCCCCATCCCCCTTTGAACCTAGTTTAAAGCCCTCTTAATCAGTCCCGCCAACTCATGGGCTAGAATCCTTTTCCCTCTTTGAGACAGGTGAACTCACTGAAGGAAGGAAGTGAGGAAAGATAAATTCTTTCAAGCTGGAATATATGGCTGCAGTCACTCAATGAAGTTGTACTAAAAAAACCCCAAAAATCAAGGAAGAAGGATATTCAACTTTTTATTTATTTCCAGTTACTCACTTTCTAAACAAAAACTGATCAACAGTGTCAATACCACAGTAATTTGCTGTTACTGTGTTACAAGAAAGCTCTGGCTGCCCAGTTCTGGAGAGGATGCAGTCCTGCATTGCCTGCCTTAGTTGGATTAGGCATAATACGATCGAGAGAGGTAGAACCCTCCCTGAACAGGGAACAACAGGATTGATGAATGCATGTTCAACAGTGCAAGTAGAGCTTGCCCTATGCAAGACAAGTGGATCATCTGTTTCAAAGACTGCTTTTTGTCAGGCAAGATCTTTAGTATCAGATGTAAGAGCTATAATACCAGATATATTATGTAGAAAATACTAAATATTGTACAACTTTTTTGTCTTGAAAACAATGAAAGTGATATAGTTCATTATGAAAAAGAACTCTGTTCTTCATACAAAGTAAATGGTTTTATTTCAGGTATGTTTGGGAGGAAAAAACTCATGAAGGATATGGTCTTTCATTAGTGAGTATAATTTAAACTAAGAATTAAGAATTTAAAAACATGTGAAAAGCAGTGTTTTCTAATACTATGGAAAAAAAAATAGAATCATTTTGCAGTCATAAAAGTTAGAACAACAGCCTATGTTACACATTACTGTTGCTCATCATTTTGTCCAGGTGCAGGACAACCGGCTTCATACTTTTTCTTCAAGCCTTTCAAATATATACGCAAACTGTCTGGATCCAATCGAGAATTTCTGGCAGTCTGAACCAATCGCATTGCTAAATGGTATACAGCTCTCTGTTTCATCATCTCAGGAGTGCTTTTCTGCCTGTGCTGTTCTTAAAAATATACATACATATTAAAATATGAAATCAATTATGTTCTATTATTAAAATACTACTATTAGCTATTTTCCAGCCTATTTCTGATCTCCTGATTCTTAGTTTGTACACCAACATTACAACCAATACTCCTTAACTCTAAGGATTGCTTTGTGTTGTCATCTAACATTGACCGTCAGTATAATCCTTTATAACTGGTTCTGGAATCACAAATTTTAATGAAATTCATTTTTATAAAACTATAGGCTGTGCTTATCCTATATCCTTTCAGAAACTGGACATTATTTGAGTCTTATAAAAACTGTGAATTACAGTGTTATAATTTTCTACTACATACCAAAATTTGTTTTGCAATATGATTTGTGATTTCCTTTGCATCCAAAATTACGGATGATGGTAGGGAGGAAACTTCTGCAGCTTTTAATCCTAAACATATAAAACACAGATCAGGATTTTTGATGTAATTTTTTTCCTACCTTCTACACTATGTCTGCCAGAATTAACTTAGCCAGTTTTTTAAAGTGTGAAGTTTTCATTTTTATTAAAATAATTTTGATACATATTTTCTCTTTGTGTCTTTTTTCTTTAAAAAAAAAAAAATACAGTTTTGAGAGTTACAAAATAAAATGTCTACTTTGTTGCAATGCTACCTCTAAGATACACTTCCACATGAAGTTACTGCTTGTAATACTGTAACTGGGCAGCACAGACACATATGGGGTTAAAGGAAAAAAATTGCTCAGTGGTGTTAACAGCTTTCTCTGTTTAGTTTTTGAATTTGGCAGGCTGGAAAATACTGAGGTTGTGCTAAATGTACTCTCCATCAAATCCAGACATCCAGTGGATATGGATGTCATGTTCTAACTTCTACTCTGTTGCCAGTAGCCAAACGGCCAGATACTCAGGGTAAGAAAGAGATGTAAAATATTTTTTTCTGCACTAACATGATTTTTTTACTTTTTCCTTTGCCTGTGGCTCTGGCTGTTCTGAGAAAATTCTGTGCTTCATTGGGTGCTTTAATAGTGTAGGGTTAAAAATGAAAAAGGGGCAAGAAAAGCCCTTGCACTCTTTCTTAAGAATGTAACTTTGCTCAAGTAAGGTAAAGCCAAGACACGAACACTGAGTTACTAAAGGTCTCCTGTTCTCTGAGAATATTCTCTAAACATATGATTTTTCTGAGCCAGTGATGTTGTAGCATCTGAAATTCAGCTTATGCTGCCAAAGGTAAAGAAACTTATTCTGAAATTCTGATAAAGAAATGTTTTAAATCCAGTGCATTAAAGCTTGACTGGAATAATTTGTAGTCTTCAGTTACTACTAGCTTGCAGAAGTCATGTGTAGCTAATTTCCTATTCATTAAATGTCACCTATATCAAGGATCCAACTTCAGAATCTAGTATTTGGAAACATACGGATTTCTGTAACTCTTTAAAACATGTAGTTATGCCTTATTGTCACTCATTCATTCCTTTATTGACCCATAATCCGTCAATCTGTACAGTCGTTAGTATGATTTATTCTGAAGTTAAAAGAGAAGTAAACCCACTTTCCTGAGAACACTGACGCTTTAGTGGAACCTCTCAAAATAGCCTTAGGCTGATACACTGTAAAATTCCTGTCTTTTTTTAAAGAAACTTGATTCTTTTTTGCTAACCAAAGAGGGCCAAGCTGCTATTTAACTGAAAATCGTTATTTAATGGCAGACACATAAGAGACTTTTACATAACACAAACCTCAGCATTCACAGCTTTAAGTCTCCCCAGAACTTTCACTCGCTTCCATAAGCGGAGATTAAATCAATCCAAGTACTGTGTGCTCAGAATGCCTCATCTCATTCAAACAGGTAAATCAAGTAGCTATCGACACTACTAAAATGTTTTCTTCACTATGAAATTTCATGTAAGTGCTTCATACTACCCCAAACTACTATCTCACTACATGGTTACTTAAAACACAGGAGTATTTGGAACGTATTACAAATCTGCAGTTGTTACACTATGAGAGAGATACAAACTCAGCAGAAATCTGTCAGCAGAAAAATACTATTAGATGTCTAATAACTGAAATAGTATCTTATATAATCTTTACTAAGTTAAAGTCATACTGGAATCCATTACCGTAGTTCTTTTCCTCTGTATATCCTTTAGAGAGTGCATAAGTGTAAGCAATTTTCTCCTTCTTTCCAGCACTGCTTCTCACATGTTGCACTTCAAAATGGTAATTTTCCACATTGGGATATAAAGCATCCATATGACACAGTTCCAGGAAATGTGTAGCAAACAATGTAAATGCCTAAATAAGGAAACAGGAAAGAAAATATATTTTGGAAATGATCCTGGAATAAATTACAATAAATAAGAAGAATTAAATGATCTCATAGATGTCCAGGTTTTCCTCCAAAACATTGAAAAGCTGTCTTTACATTACTAAAGCAAAATAAAATCTTTAAGCAACGAGTTCTACCATTGGCAAGGATCTTTTCCAACTGAGGATTCTCCCACTCCTTTCTCAACAGAAGGAAAAGAATTATCAGATGTAACAGGAAATCCACGATGCTTACAGAATTTGACTAGGGCTAATTTAAATGATTGTCAAATATACTTCAATACTCTCAAGGAATGTTTTGCCAAAAGTACAAGTTACAGAAAACATCAGAGGTTTTCAAACCAAACCACAAAAGTACTCTGAATAAACTCTGATGAGAAACTGAACACCTACGTACTTACTTCAAAAAGCTGACAACAATCTGAGGTTGATCACATAACTATTAATAGAGGTGAAACTTCCAATGCATCTTACACCATCTTCCACTTTTCTAAACAAGCCTCTAACTTCTATGACCAATTTGTAAATTGTGTGGAACTACCACTGTACTTTGGAAAGGTAACAGCCAGGTAAAGAGGTTCACCTTTAACATTCAAGCATACAAAGCTGTACTAAGCAAAACTAAAGAGTCTTGCTTGTTCTCTTTCTAGACAGAAATGCAAGCTTGTGAGCAAGTTGGAAGGAGATGGTGACCAGTGTACTGGTTTTGACTGGGATAGAGTTAATTTTCTTCATAGTAGCTTGCATGGTGCTATGTTTTGGTTTTGTGACGAAAACAGTGTTGGTAACACACCTATGTTTTAGCTATTGTTGAGCGGTGCTTGCACAGCATCAAGGCTTTTTCTGCTTCTCACACTAGTCCGTCAGCGAGCAGCCTGAGGGTGCACAAGAAGTCAGGAGGGGACACAGCCGGGACAGCTGACCCCAACTGACCCAAGGGACATCAGAGGGCTGGAGCACCTCCCCAATGAGGACAGGCTGAGAGAGTTGGAGTTGTTCAGCCTGCAGAAGAGAAGGCTCCAGAGAGACCTTAGAGCAGCCTTCCAGTACCTAAAGGGGCCGACAAGAAAGCTGGGCAGGGACTTTTTACGAGAGCAGGGAGTGATGGGACAAGGGGCAATGGCTTTAAACTGGAAGAGGGAAGGTTTAGATTAGGAATTAGGAAGAAATTCTTCAGTGTGAGGGTGGTGAGGCAGTGGCAGAGGTTGCCCAGAGAAACTGTGGCTGCCCCATCCCTGGCAGATTGGATGGGGCTTTGAGCAACCTGGTCTGGTGGGAGGTGTCCCTGGCCATGGGAACTGGATGAGCTTTAAGGTCCATTCCAACCCAAACCATTCTATCATTCTATGATCCCACACCATATGATGCAGTACTAAAAGCTGCAGAGAAGAAGGAGAAAGGAGGAATGTTCAGAGTTATGGTGTTTGTTTTCCCAAGTAACCATCACGTGCGATGAAGCCCTGCTGTCCTGGAGATGGCTGAACACCTGGCTGTGGATGGGAAGTAGCAAATGAATTCCTTATTTTGCTTTGCTTGCATGTCTTGCTTGCTTTACCTATTAAACTGTCTTTATCTCAGCCCACAAGTTTCTGCACTTTCACCCTTCCAATTCTCTCCCTCATCTCACTGTGAGGGAATGAGCGAGACACTGGGTGGTGTTCAGCTGCCCGCTGGGGTTAAATCACAATCACCACTGTACAGAAGGGCAGTTTATGTCAGCATTTCTTCTCTATCACCATAATTCTTGCTATTCACCAGTCAGGAAAAACATCATATTTAGGCAAGAAATCCCTACAAAACTGAAGTTAAATTATGAGAAAACACTGTATTTACTTTCAGGATGACAAAATAATTACAAGGTTTAAATTTTTTCCAAAACAGAATTACCTTTAAATTCAATAGATATTCACAGGCAGCATAACAAATGCCAATACCTTCTTCAGCACTGGTACCTCTGCCAAGTTCATCAATTATGATGAGTGATTTGTCATTAGCATTTTGTATGATGTATGTTATCTAGGAAAATATTTAATGCATTATCATTCCTGTACATGCATTTTTTAAGACGCCTAATAGTAATACTGCTGCTAAGAGGAATACTTTGTGTTCTTCAGATGAAACTTAATGCAGAACTTTTAAAAAAATCTTGTCAGATCCACAAATTTCACCTTTTCAGAGCTTTCAAATAGCTGTCAATTCTAATCAGGCAAAGACTCATATACAGCACTCTTTCTCTTTTCCATTGAACGTATCACTTTTCCCTCAAAATCATCAGTTTGGGAGAGGGAACTGAGAGGGCTTAGGCTCCTACAAATAATCATTTAAGGTCTAAGAAATAGCAAAACGTTGAAACTACTGTCCTATAGAGCACTGATTTTTACTCGTATTTGGATATCTTTTTATTTAAGATATGCCTGTTTTTCTGTGGTTTATCATCAAGGTAACAGATGAAAGCTGAATTTTTGACTACTTTCCAAAGTACAGTCTTTCAGTGGAAATACACTAGAACAATTTCTATTAACTTAAGAGTAAAAATGGGCCTTGGACCCTGGATTAGCTATGTTTAATACCTCTTTCATTTCCTTCATGAATGTTGATGCATTTGTTTCTATATCGTCATCCATACCTATTCTGGTAAAAATTTGCTCTGCGATTCGAAAAGAACAATACTCTGCTGGGACATAAGAACCTACAAAACAAGTAAAATACAAGTTTTCCTGTATCAGTGTGACAAATGCCAATTTGCCTGAATATGTCAGTGGGGGGAAAAAAACCTACCAGTTTTACGCTTGGTCTTTATGCACTGTAGAGATCTATCAAGTTTTGTAAGATTATGTTCTACCATTACTTTATAAGAAAAAATTATAGATATTGTAATTAAAGAAGCTTATCAGTAAAACCTTAAGAAATCACACACCTGAAGCTGTGTGTTAGTCTAAAGGGATACAAAAGTGAGAATAAACACTAGATTAATTTACATTTCTGTAGCCATTGAGTTACTAATCCCAAGGAATCTTAGCTTCCCCAAACTAAGATTATATTGCCTTTACCAGACTTTGAGTCTTATTAGTTTTACTGAATATAAAAGAACATGAAACTTGCCAAAAGACTTTACAGTCTCCTTTATTCATATTAAACTCATGTTTTTGAGAGAAATTCCTGAAGAACTTGCAGTTGTTTGGGACTGGACCCACAAACACATGCTGGACAAATTTTATTCTCCACTGCTAAGTACTGTCATTCTAGTAGAGTTAAGGTCAGCCTATTAAGGTTTTTCTCCTGTGCTACCAGCCTTACCCTTTAAGGTAAAAATCATGAGGAATTCCCAAGTATAGGGTTGAGTCCCAGTTAGACTTTACAAATACTTGGTTTACTTTACAGTTCTAGGGATAGAACCTTGCAGTATTTATTACTGCTTTTATTTGAAGTAGTTGATTATTTATCTATTAATTCTACTTGGGTGTAAGTATGTTTTTCTACATAACTGAGGTATGCTCAAGTTTATCTGTTCTTTTGGATGACTAAGACATATGTATCCTGACAGGCATACTTCAAGGACACTCGTTATCAACGTAGCATTGTTACAGAATAAGTTTAATCAGCCTTTTTAATTGTACTCTATTCTTTCAAATACACTCTGAATACTGTCTGAATAACTTCACTTAGCACTAGTTAGCAGAAGAAAGAATTCCAGGTAGTATATCATGAACTCATCGTGACCTGGTTGCTTGGCTACAGGGGGTCTTGAAGAAGAGAAGAAGGAAACTTTTTCAGCAGAAGCTGCAACCCACCTACATTAAGGACAACAAATGGCCCGTCAGGAGTTCGGAGGCAGAAAACCAAAGAGAAACAATTAAGCCCCCAGACCATGAATTACCATTGGACCAAGACGTGCGTGGACAGCACGTGAAGAGACTGAGCATTGGACTACAAGGCGAGTGAAGGGCACATGGAGAAGGGGTGCATAGATTGTAAGAGTTTGAAAGCCCAGGCTTGCTTTGTTTTGTGGTCCCTCCCTGGAGGCACCCAGCTCAAGCTGTCATTCTGCTGTACCATCCAAATAAATTAATTATTGTTCTAAGATCGGATGTCTGAGACTCTGCTGTGGGAAATCTAGGGCAAAGAGATTTCTTTAACAAGTTGCTAGACAAGGTTAAGCTGCTCCAAAGAATTACAGCATACAACTGTGCTTCTCGTAAGGACAGACTAGAGAGGCTTCCAGATAGACAGACAGGGCCCCACAAGTTTCCAATGGCAGACCCAAAACCTTGCAGTGGCCTCTGTCAGCAACAAAACAGCTGGTAGGAGCAAACGGGCTAAAAATTACTTGTTACTATTTCAACAGAATCTTATTCTAGAAGCCAAATCATTCAACTTCATAGTATTTTTAACTAGAAAACAATAAACGTGCTGCAGAAGATTACTAATACAGTACACACTTACCAATCTGTGCCATAATTTGGCAGAGTGCAATCTGTTTTAGGTATGTTGATTTTCCACTCATATTTGGTCCTGTGATAATGACAAAATTGTTACCCTCTGTCAGATATGTGTTGTTAGACACAGGTTTTTCCATAGCTATCTTTTCAAGAATGGGATGCCATCCCTGCTTGATCGCTAAAGTATCCGTAAATTCTGGACGAACTAAATGAGAAAAAGGATATAAAACACTGCAGAGTTAGTACAAAAACTTTTACTTTACTAAACTAGTTTGCTTTGAAATAAAGTAATTCTTGCACAGAAGTCGTCAAACTCTGTGGTCCTGAAAGCTATGACCGGAATCATCAGCACATGAAGATTCACAGTCCATACTGCAAAGTAAACTGATCCTGCTCATGAACTGGAAATTGCGTAGCAACATCAGTAATGATGAGCTAACACATCTCCTGAGATGGCTTCCAGACCTGATTTAGTATCTACACCGTATCATACTGTACTTCAGTATCTCAGGTCAGCATCAGTTGAAGGCAATGTGCTCATTTGTACATTGCAGAACTGGGCTAGGGAAGCAGGATGAAAAATATGCAGGTAAGCACATGATCTTGGATTCCTTAGAAGACTCTACTTCCAAAAATGTCTAGAAGTGCTAAAGAAATTGAAGCAGATAAACAAGGGTAGCCACATATTTTGGTTTATGGTATATACTTAATGTTGATCTGCTTATATTATCTTGTGCCCTTTCAGAACAGAAGTGTAAACCCAGAATGTTCACAGACTTCGTGCTTTTGAATAGAATATGCTTAAACTGGCTATCTTGAAAAGACTGGCTGTGAAGGCTTATAGCAGCTAAATGGCAGAATGTAATTTCAATGAACGGAAAGAGAAAGAATATCAGCACAAAACTGGCAAGGGTAGACCACAGACACTCACCTAAAGCCTACTGAGACCCAAAAAAAGAAATTATGTGGGCTTAGCACCTGGAGAACCAGACAAAACAGCCTGGATATTCTCCAACAGAAGGGTCTTTATCCAGCCTATGACAGAATCAAAGGAGAAACTTACCATAATCAGAAAGAGTGCAGGCATGGGCAAAGGAAAGTAGCATATCCAGCATTGACACAATGTCAGACAGCTTGTATAGGCAATGAATGTGTTCATAGATCTCGTTCAGTAGTTTACACACTATTCTGAAATAAGACACTAATTTAGTATTGCACAGTACATACCGTCACTTTATCCAACATACAGAAATAAAGCAAGTTAATAATGTTCATACTACATACATTAGGCTAGAACGTTACTCATGAAATGCAATCATATCTGCCAGATGCAAGCAAATGTATAAATTTCGTTGAATCAAATGAAGATCTTATACCATCACCTCAGATCAAATTTTGCCATCAGACACAAGACACATAGCTCAAATACCAACAGCTCATAAGAAAGCTTCACAAAGAGAATGAACTAAAAACACAGCTATGGAATCAAGTGTGTTTTATTAACACATCAAATGCAACTCTATTTCCCTTAGGCCTTCATGACAATAAAAACCCAGGTGGTTTCTAGAAAGAATTTCCATAAAACTGACATGCAACATTACACTGAATAAGTCTTCTGAAATAGACAGCAGAGCAACATGACATGCAACAGAGACAAATTACAGAAACAGACAGTTCTACTGTAAATGCACGGAACTGATTAAAAGTAACAATTTTGCCTTACAAAACTAATGCATTCATTATGTCATTTTGTGTAGATAATTCACCCATAAAAATTTAATAAATATGATGGCCATCCTTCTTAATAAATGCCTATATATTTGTAATCACGTTTAATACAATACACACTATGAGGGGTTTCTTTCGTCTCATGAAGTACACTTGATCAGTGTCACTTTGGATTACTCCTGTAAGCAGCCATAAGTTAACAGAGAGATAGCTTTAAGAAAATGTGTAACTAGCTGTTCATTGGACAAAATAAATGTAGTTAGCAAATATTACATAGTTTTAAATGGTCTTACAAGTAGGTCATGTGATATATTTCTCTCAGGGACTCCTGACATCTTTCATTCATTTTTATTAAATCTGCTGAAGTGAAGCTGTATGTGTTTTTCATTTTAGTGATCTACAGGGAATTCAAACCAACAATAAGAACTTGTCATACTATCAGAAACAAAAATAGTCTCTAAAAAGCAAACTGGGAACAATAAGGGGGAAAAAACGTGGAAAACACAATGCCTGGTTTCATTATTCCCATGTAAATTTTTATGAAAAATCTACGTAAGAAAAAGCAGTTATCAGCAAGACCTACAACTTTATATTTACACACAACATAATTGCATGTAATTGCACATTTCTGACTATATTAAGTGTAACTAGAAATAGGGCAGGTATAAAAACATACCAATTATACCTTCATTTACTTCTAGATATCATCACTGAAATTATTTTAATTGTTGCTTAAATTACTCTATAATCTGTACTTTACTAATGTATTATACATTTTATATATATTAAGTATACAAACACATTATGAAAAACAACTATCTAGTACAGATACCTTTGTAAATTCTGAAGGAAGCTGGCCATTGGGTAATGTTGAACAATCAACATTCATCTGGATAAAAAATCCACGAGCAGAGCTGAAACTTGTTTTCATTGGTAGGCTGTACTTTTCTGCAAGTTGTGTTATCATACCTACATACCACAAATAAAGATTCAACCCAAATTACATACATTCATGTGCATACACACACACACATACTTGTGTTGGTACAAAGATGCACCCTGTTAATGTGATTTATAGGCGCTGAATGTGTCAGGTAAGTAACATGACAAAAGGTCTCAGAGTTGGGTCTCCAGGGAGTTATTTCAGTAAAGTATTAATGTAACAAATCTGGCTGCATAAAGCTATTGGGAAAAAATTCCAGTGGAGAATCAGACAAATTCATGTGTTCTTTAAAGACTGTTCATGCATTTGACCAACTTCCAGGTGGGCCTAACTATGGAAAGGAAAGTTTGCTCAAACGCTTATCGTCACTGTCTCATCAGTAGACAGAATATGAACTGCAGACCAGAGACCAGTTCATGATTCTAAGCAATCTTCTTTCCTCAGACTGAGGGTAACGCTTTACATTTGTAATCCCTCCTTTAAATCCATTGTGTTCCTAGCTGAGAAGATATCGTATGTGGGAAACTGTTAGATGATAGAAGAACATCTACTGTTAAATCATGGGACTTCTGAATACTGCAAAGAGGGTAATGGTGTAGTACTCCTGTGAGAAGAAAGGATGGAGTTACTGAGTGGTGTTTCCCTGCTGCTCATTGCTCTAAGCTTGCCCACTCCCATGTTCCAACCACTCACAATGTAGACTAGCAATGTGGGACATTCTGGATATAGAATCATAGAATGCTCTGGGTTAGAAGGGACCTTTAAAGATATCTAGTCCAACCCCCCTGCCCCCCCTCCACAGGTAGGGACATCTTTGACTAGATCAGGTTGCTCTAAGCCACATCCAACCTGACCTTAAATACTGCCAATGATGAGGCATCCACAACTTCTCTGGGAAACCTGTTCCAGCATCTCATCACCCTCATAATAAAAAATTTCTTCCTTATGTCCAACCTAAATCTACCCCTCTTCCAGTTTAAAACCATTGTCCCTTGTCCTGTCAATACAGGCCTTCATACAAAAAGTCTTTCTCCCTCCTTCTTACCAGCCCCCTTTACATATCGAAAGGCTCCCCAGAGCCATCTCTTC